GGAGTTTAACCAATTACTCAATCACCCCACATTTGGACAAATTGCGGTTTATAACAAAATCAATTTCCCAGTCTAGTGAAAATATCCCTTGTAGCCAAGCGTGGCTGTGACATTGAGGAAAGATACTTACGCACCTTCGAAGAGTGTTTTTTTCAGATTAGTGAGTTTACACCATTTGTTCAACATTAGTTCACCATACCTCCTTACGATTTTATAATATCTTGGATATATAGTCCCTCTATGAAATGAACATTGGTTTTCTATCTGTTCCTTCACAGAGATAGTTTTTTATCATTTCTTTCTCCTGTATTGTAACTTTTTGTAGTTGTTGACAGTGTCCTTCTATAGACACGTAGTATATAAGATACTTGCTATTAATCTATTCAAAATTACTATTGAATTGCTTTGAGATAGATTTTGTATTGATCTGATATGTTAAACCTTGCACAGTGACAAATAAAAAAAGAAAAACAATTTGCTATGAGTTTAGTTTTCTAAAAAGTAAATACCCCAGTCAAAAGGGAACTATAGAATTTTCTAAGTTCCAAAGAACATTTATCATCATAGATCACTGACTTTTTCCCACATGTAATTATAAAAATCCTACATTTTCTTGAGTGCAGTTAAAAAACTACTAAATAGTAGGGAAAATTCCTCCTGCCCTGAGTCTGTGCTAATCAGCATTACACTCTCTAATTAGTACTATCAGTCAATTAAGAAAAAACCCAAGGAACAGTAGCCTTCAGCCAAAATAATCACATTGCATTATTTAAATTTAAAACAAAACAAAAAAAGCTGCTTTGGGGATCACAACATTATAGAATGTTTTGGACCTGCAATGCTTGAGTGAGGGACAAAGTTCTTAGAATTGTGTGTGGTGAAGGCAGATTGGTCAGGGAACAGCAATACTTGAATCTTTTAGAGTAAAGAGCTTTCAGGAGTCTGGTATTGTGTATGAATAAATGGATACAATGTCTCTCAGGGTGGAATAGTGTTGTGTTGCTTTCTCTATGCAATCTATGTACAAAGTCTGTGGTGACAGCTGGAGCGGAGATGTCTGGTGCCACAACTTGAATACATATTCTAAGTATTTTTTCATGGTTGCCATTTAAGATGTTTGGGATACGTCACATTCTAACATTATTTCAGTGTTTTCTTTTTCTTTACAGTTTAGTAGGTATAGTGCCAATGAACAATTGCATGCATTTAATTTTACATTTCTCTAATTGGAGGTATATATATAATTGGAGGCTGCAGATGTCTTATCTGCAGCCTTTGCAATCCCTTCCCTTCTTCCCCGGCATAGATAAAGATTGAAGCAGCAGGACCTTTGATATTATATCACTACTACGACACAATATTTCCCAATTTGCTCTGTGTTTAATTGTATGTATGTATGAAACATAAACCATCGTGTTATCTCCTTATTTATCATTGAGGATTATACTGCAATAGATTTTTGTCAAAGGTATTGAGAGGGTCTCTGAATTAGGAGTGCTTTTCTTACAATACATCATTTTCTGTCTATATTAGATGGTATTACACTGTGAAATGTTTTCTCTTTTTTATTCTTACATAAATATTGGATCTTCGGACCTTCTATCAAATAAGGCCTATAGTATCTCCATGATTCATGGTATTAAGGTTGCCACACCTAGCTACTGTTTTTCTTTTTACACTGTTCTTCATTCCTTCAAGAATGCGGATACTTATCATTTAGGTAATCTTTTTTGGTCTATATTGTTCTCTTTATTTGTCTCCTGTCTAAAACTTGTCCATGTGATCCTTGACTGTACATTTATAAAAGTTAATTAACCACACACCACATGGCAAAGCAATGCTCCATCATCTACCCATCAACGGCTAAAATGGACTTTTACAATATTGCTTGTTAAAGATAATTAAAAAAAATAATACAATAAAATAATCAGAAGACTATGTATGGTGCAATCTAACTGTTGTTTTTTTTTAAACATGTGTCAGGTAGTCACATTTTATTTATATTTTATATTCTGTTTGTAATTGAAAAACTGTGCAGCCGAGCTTATCCAATTATATATACCCACGATGGAAAAAAAAAAGCCAAAATGTACTATGAATCTTAAATATGTGCAGCTGATTTTTTGGTGTTCCTTGGGTCAGTCTCTAAACACTATTTATAAGAAGAAAGGATGAACCATTTATAATATATATCATTTTTTATATTTACAATGTATTCTTGAACAATAAAAATCTGATTAAACCAAATAAATTGCTGTAGAGAATTTTTTTTTTGTAGATTTATAATTATTCAAAAGTCATAATCGTGTAGAAAAGCGCAGCTATGTTATCTAACCGTGAAAATTACATTACGTGCATAACTTCTGAATATTCATAGCATTAATAAAATGTTAAATCATAACGCCAGAATGGGCTGAATATGTGCGTATGGAAACAAACATCACACTCAAAGAATGCACCCTGAGATATGGTAACTTCATTAGCAGCTTCTCTCTCGAAAAAAAAAATATAAATATTTTATTTACATACTTTTACTTGTCAAAAAAATCCCATAATAGTCCAGATTCAGTGATGCAATCATCTGCAGAGGTACACCATTTTTGGACTTCTTGGCGCTAATGAGGTAGATGAACAGCAGGTGGCAAAGTGAGATGATTTTAATATGATCCACATCTGGGTCTATGTGAATTTTACTAAATAATTAAATAAACTGGTAACTCTTGCCATAAAGGACACAAAAGAGTTTTTACAAATAGGCCGCTACGTCTTCCGATATCCCAGTAACCTGGAGTGTGGCAAACTACTTGGCTGTCTCTTTCTCTGTCTGTAGGATCGTCCTGCATAAATGGGAGCCATATTGTAGAATACGATGAGCCAGATATCTCCTAAATACATTTACAGCCGTATTTGGTCGTTTCACCTTTTGAAAACTAAAAACAAAATAAAACACTGTGATTTTGTTTCTGTTGATAAACAGCAAGGTTTGACAGTTGGAATCCATTAAAAAATATTTTTTTTAGTATCAGACATTATACAGAAAACATTCAAAGACTCATGTCATCAGACATCAGTACAGTAAAGGTTACTCTCAAATGGTAACAGAAACAAAACATAATTAAATGATTCAGAATAAAATAATACCAAGCAAAACAAATATAACACATTAAGAGGGAAAAGATGATATGTGTGTGTGACGAGACCAATCTCGCCACATTGCATTGGAGAAGCCTGGTTGCTCGCCTGCTGCCTTTGGACTATGGCCCCCTTTTAAAAGACTTTATTTTTGCCTGCAGAAAAGCTGTATTTGTGCTTTTCTGCCTGGGGTTCGGTAGATTTGTTTGAATGTGTTATACCCCAGATAGGGAATCCCATGGAGCCCATTCGTATGAAACTGACTGTAAAGACTTTAGCTCCATGGCGATTAAACTGTATTCGTGTGGTCTGAGCGCCATTCACTTAATAATGTGCGCTCGGACCTGAGCTATCTGGGGATATGTTACATGTCTGTGTTTTATGTAATAAATGTGACTTTATGTATTTTAAAGTGTTTTGTGTCTCTTTTGCAACCATGTGCTTAATGGAGTCTTGTGTCTGTCCTGGGAGATAATTGAATTACTTATCTCCAGGATAGAAGACTCTGAAACTGGTTTGGGCCAGAAAGCCATGCTTCATTTAGTCACAAAGGACTTTTTACTAACTTTTGAACCCCTTGTCTGATTTGTGCCATTTTTGAATATGTTGTTCCCCTGAATGGATTGATTGAGAATATGTAATTTTATGTGAATGTGATGTATGGTTTTGGAGTTATGAAAGTTGGGTAGAAAGTATGTTTTAACTGTTTGTATAATTGAGTTTCCTCTCAGGATAAGGGGAGGGAATATGTGGGATGTAACTGTGATATGATTGGTTGTTTTATCCCTCCCTGTGGGTGGTCCTGTATTTGAAACACTGTAATAAAAACCAGGCTGGGTGTGCCAGCACCTCAGACCACTGCTTGACCCTCAACACGGAGCCTTGTCTCGTTCTTGGGGGGATTCACTGTCTGCTGTTAGAGACTGATTGCCAGGAATGTAAGCTGTTCGTCTGCTTTTCCTGTTCGTCTGCTAGCAGCTATTTGGGAGGTTCCAGTTCAGGAGTTGGAGTGCTATTTTGTATCCAGTTCGTGAGTTTTGGTGTTCTGCAGTAGCTGTGCCTGGATCTCTGGAAAGGGGGCCGATCGCCTAAACGGTTTTTACCCCTTGTGTGCAAAACGGTCCGTTACAATTGGTGGCAAGCGGCGGGATCGTTCCTACAGCCAGAAGGACAGCTACAGGAGACACCATTTCTTTGGATTTACAAGTTAAGGGCAACGCATGTCCCAGTACAGCGACCCTGACAGCACCAGGATGGAACCAGCAGTGGAGTACAGATACTCTATGAGAGAGTATGACCGTATGATGTGGTTGCGGCTGAACTTCTTTGGACCCAATCCAGCTGAGAAATACGTGCAGTCCATGAGAAACCTAGTGTTCATGAATCTGCAACACCGGGCAGAAAGAGAAGGTCAGCTGGCACGTTGGGAGGAACTCCAGCGACAGGTACTGCAGGGAATTGGGAGCCCAGTCTCCATTCCCCAGCGGCAGTGTGATATGCAGGGAATTGGGAGCCCAGTCTCCATTCCCCAGCGGCAGTGTGATATGCAGGGAATTGGGAGCCCAGTCTCCATTCCCCAGCGGCAGTGTGATATGCAGGGAATTGGGAGCCCAGTCTCCATTCCCCAGCGGCAGTGTGATATGCCGGGAATTGGGAGCCCAGTCTCCATTCCCCAGCTGCAGTGTAAAGTGCAGGGAGAGGAGAGCAGCGTCCTCCCTCCCCAGCGGCAGGCTGAGTTACAGGGGGCAGAGGTAGTTGTTCCTGCCCCCCAGCGGCAGAGTGATATGCCGGGAAGGCAGTGTGAAGTGCAGGGAGAGGAGAGTAGTGTCCTCCCTCCCCAGCGGCAGGCTGAGTTACAGGGGGCAGAGGTAGTTGTTCCTGCCCCCCAGCAGCCAAGTGATATGCCGGGAAGGCAGTGTGAAGTCCAGGGAGAGGAGAGCAGTGTCCTCCCTCCCCAGCGGCAGCGTGATTTTTTTGGGAATTGGGAGCCCAGTCTCCATTCCCCAGCGGCAGTATGATGCTTTGGGAATTGGGAGCCCAGTCTCCATTCCCCAGCAGCAGCACAGATTATTGGGAATTGGGAGCCCCGTCTCCATTCCCCAGCGGCAGAGTGTCCTACCGGGAATAGAGAGCCCAGTCTCCTTTCCCCAGCAGCAGGACTCTGTATTGGGAGCAGAAACAGTCGGTCTCCCTCCCCCGCAGCTGGAAGTATGTATGGGAGAGGAGCTTGTTAACCCCTCTCCCCAGCGGCAGCTTAATGTACAAAGGGGAGACAGTAAGCCCCACAACTGTGCAGATGGGACCGTAGTCTCTACACTGCCAGCACAGGGGGTAGGGACGGTCGGTCCTGCCCCCCAGCGACAGGGCTGTTTAGCCAAAGGGGAGACAGCCGGTCTCCCCCTCCAGCAGCAGAGATGGGTAACCAAAGGGGAGACGGTCGGTCTCCAGCAGCAGGACTGTGCATCTAAAGGGGAGACAGTCAGTCTCCAGCAGCAGCAGCAGAGCGGTGTATTTAAGGGGGAGACAGTCGGTCTCCCCCTCCAACAACCAGGCTTCCACCAGGCTACCCTCCCAGTAGCGCTGGCAACAGGGCAGAGTGCCGCTGGTCTCTGCCCATGCAGCAACCCACCAAGTCAGCGTACCCGTACCCAGCCCAGCCGTGGTGAGGCACCTGGACATGGACAAGCTTCTCCTTTACCCAGGTGTAGTAACCATTTATTGTGGGTGGGCTGTGCTGTTGATTATTTGTTGTGGGTGGGCTGCTGGACTAACAAGGGCCCTGACCGGCAGGAGGTCAGATACCCTGTTAGTCTGTTTGTAAAAGGGGAGAGATGTGACGAGACCAATCTCGCCACAGTGCATTGGAGAAGCCTGGTTGCTCGCCTGCTGCCTTTGGACTATGGCCCCCTTTTAAAAGACTTTATTTTTGCCTGCAGAAAAGCTGTATTCGTGCTTTTCTGCCTGGGGTTCGGTAGATCTGTTTGAATGTGTTATACCCCAGATAGGAATCCCATGGAGCCCATTCATATGAAACTGACTGTAAAGACTTTAGCTCCATGGCGATTAAACTGTATTCGTGTGGTCTGAGCGCCATTCACTTAATAATGTGCGCTCGGACCTGAGCTATCTGGGGATATGTTATATGTCTGTGTTTTATGTAATAAATGTGACTTTATGTATTTTAAAGTGTTTTGTGTCTCTTTGCAACCATGTGCTTAATGGAGTCTTGTGTCTGTCCTGGGAGATAATTGAATTATTTATCTCCAGGATAGAAGACTCTGAAACTGGTTTGGGCCAGAAAGCCATGCTTCATTTAGTCACAAAGGACTTTTTACTAACTTTTGAACCCCTTGTCTCATTTGTGCCATTTTTGAATATGTTGTTCCCCTGAATGGATTGATTGAGAATATGTAATTTTATGTGAATGTGATGTATGGTTTTGGAGTTATGAAAGTTGGGTAGAAAGTATGTTTTAACTGTTTATATAATTGAGTTTCCTCTCAGGATAAGGGGAGGGAATATGTGGGATGTAACTGTGATATGATTGGTTGTTTTATCCCTCCCTGTGGGTGGTCCTGTATTTGAAACACTGTAATAAAACCAGGCTGGGTGTGCCAGCACCTCAGACCACTGCTTGACCCTCAACACGGAGCCTTGTCTCGTTCTTGGGGGGATTCACTGTATGCTGTTAGAGACTGATTGCCAGGAATGTAAGCTGTTCGTCTGCTTTTCCTGTTCGTCTGCTAGCAGCTATTTGGGAGGTTCCAGTTCAGGAGTTGGAGTGCTATTTTGTATCCAGTTCGTGAGTTTTGGTGTTCTGCAGTAGCTGTGCCTGGATCTCTGGAAAGGGGGCCGATCGCCTAAACGGTTTTTACCCCTTGTGTGCAAAACGGTCCGTTACAGTGTGCAACAAAAAGGACACTTAATAGTGTGAAGGTATGGGTAAATGGCAAAACATTTTTAAAAGGAAACTTATTTCTCTGGAAATTAAGCCATGAAATAAAACTCTGAATTAGCTACGTCTGGTGCTTTGTCATGTTATTTTCTTTTCTAATGTATATTATGCAAATTTAGTAACTGACCTCACACTCCAGTTGACGCACACATTGCACTGGAGGAGAAATGACATTGTGCAGTTTTTAAAGCAATCTGAAACGTGTCTTGTTTTTGGTCTCTAATATGTTCGATTGTTATGTAGTCTTCTAATAATGGTCTAAAACGTTTCTGATTTTCTCTACCTACATTCTGATGGTTTTTGCTAAAATATCCATTTCAGGAAAGAACACCACATTTGGAATGACCAAAAAAAGCGAAATTAGTTTTCTGGCTGGAAAAGGGGTGGAAAGAGAGATAAATCCTTTGTATTGTCGAAAAAAAATAGTGTACGTTTCCTATTGACAGTTCAGGTGTAAAGAACCAACAGACAAAAATCTGGATCTCTATCCACTGAGCTATCTCTTCAGCTTGCTATACGGTGATTACCAGTACTGTCTAAATATTCAGATTGCATCTGTCCATCTAATGACATCTCTACATGGTTTAAACCTGGTGTCACATAAAATATTTGGGTTGCTAATGATAGAGGAGATCTAACGTTATTAAAATCGAAACCACACAGATGAAAAAAATACAAATATTAAAATATTATCAAGTTACACGTAGATGTTAAAAAGTACACAGTAAATGTGCATTTATTACAATCAAAGTATTAGTGTACTGATGAAGACAAAGTAACAACATGTGTCTCACCAGAGGCCAATGGAAGAACTGTTAAATCTTCGGTAAAATCGAATTGCTTCCAAGGAAACATTTCAGAGCTGTACTGCTTGCGTTTTAAAACTTACCAATGTTAAATAAAAATATATAAATATGTTATTTGTATTCATTCGTAGAAAGATCTGCTTTGGCTTTAAGCTAAAAGCTTGAATCTAAGGATGAGAACATCTGACCATATGGAAACGTTGCAAAGTTATTTAAAAGAAACAGAGCCATGTAAACGATATAAAATTATATTCCAAGCATTATTCATCCATTCCTACCAAAGCTCACACACATAGCAGCATTCAATAGTTCCTAAAATTAAAGGAAAACATCGCTAATTTTTAAACAAATACATAGAAACATAGAAACATAAAATGTGACGGCAGATAAGAACCATTCGGCCCTCTAGTCTGCCCAATTTTCTAAATACTTTCATTAGTCTCTAGTCTTATCTTATAGTTAGGATAGCCTTTTGCCTATCCCACGCATGCTTAAACTCCTTTACTGTGTTAACCTCTACCACTTCAGCTGGAAGGCTATTCCATGCATCCACTAGCCTCTCAGTAGAGTAATACTTCCTGATATTATTTTTAAACCTTTGCCTCTCTAATTTAAGACTATGTCCTCTTGTTGTGGTAGTTTTTCTTCTTTTAAATATAATCTCCTCCTTTACTGTGTTGATTCCCTTTATATATTTAAATGTTTCTATCATATCCCCCCTGTCTCGTCTTTCCTCCAAGCTATACATGTTAAGATTCTTTAACCTTTCCTTGTAAGTTTTATCCCGCAATCCATGAACCAGTTTAGTATCCCTTCTCTGAACCCTCTCTAAGGTATCAATATCCTTCTGAAGATACGGTCTCCAGTACTTTGTACAATACTCCAAGTGAGGTCTCACCAGTGTTCTGTGCAATGGCATGAGCACTTCCCTCTTTCTACTGCTAATACCTCTCCCTATACAACCAAGCATTCTGCTAGCATTTCCTGCTGCTCTATTACATTGTCTGCCTACCTTTTAAGTCATCAGAAATAATCACCCCTAAATCCCTTTCCTCAGATGTTGAGGTTAGGACTCTATCAAATATTCTGTACTCTGCCCTTGGGTTTTACATCCAAGATGCATTATCTTGCACTTATCCACATTAAATGTCAGTTGCCACAATTCTGACCATTTTTCTAGTTTACCTAAATCATTTGTCATTTGGTTTATCCCTCCTGGAACATCAACCCTGTTACATATCTTAGTATCATCAGCAAAAAGACATACCTTACCATCAAGACCTTCTGTAATATCACTAATAAAAATATTAAAGAGAATGGGTCCAAGTACAGGTCCCTGAGGTACCCCACTGGTGACAAGTCCAAGCTTCGAATATATTCCATTAACTACAACCCTCTGTTGCCTGTCACTCAGCCACTGCCTTACCCATTCAACAATATTTGAATCCAAACTTAAAGATTGCAGTTTATTGATAAGCCTTCTATGTGCAACAGTGTCAAAAGCCTTACTGAAACCACCCTGATCTATAATTTTAGTTACCCAATCAAAAAAATCAATAAGATTAGTTTGGCATGATCTCCCTGAAGTAAACCCATGTTGTCTCTGATCTTGAAATCCATATGTTTTTAGTTGTTCATCAATCCTATCCTTTAACATGGCTTCCATCACTTTTCCCACTACTGAAGTAAGGCTTACTGGCCTATAGTTGCCCGACTCCTCCCTATTTCCTTTCTTGTAAATAGGCACAACATTCGCTAACTTCCAATCTTCAGGGACTACTCCTGTTAACAATGATTGGTTAAATAAATCTGTTAATGGTTTTGCTAGTACACCACTAAGCTCTTTTAATAGCTTTGGGTGTATTCCATCAGGTCCCATTGACTTACTTGTCTTTACTTTTGACATTTGAAATAGAACCTCTTCCTCTGTAAACTCACGTGTAATAAATGACTCATTTATCCTTTTTCTCAACTGAGGTCCCTTTCCTTCATTTTCATCTGTAAATACAGAACAAAAATATTCATTGAGGCAGTCAGCTAGACCTTTATCCTCTTCTACATACCTTCCTTCTTTTGTTTTTAATCTAACTAATCCTTGTTTTACTTTTCTTTTCTCATTTATGTATCTAAAAAATGTTTTATCCCCCTTTTTTACTGACTGTGCTATTTTCTCTTCTGTGTGTGATTTGGAAGCTCTTATAACTTGCTTAGCCTCTTTCTGCCTAATCTTATAGATCATTTTGTCTTCCTCACTCTGGTTTTTTTTAATAATTCCTAAATGCTAACTTTTTGTTTTTAACTATTTTGGCCACATCTGCGGAGTACCACAGTGGTTTCTTGAATTTTTTGCTTTTACTGACAAGCCTAATGCAATTTTCTGTTGCCTTCAATAGTGCAACTTTTAAATAATCCCATTTCTCTTGGACTCTCTTGGACTACATTTT